GCCTCGCTGCTTGGCGCGTTCGCCGCCTCCCCAGCCGCCCCTCCCCCCTCGCCGCTCCCCGCCTCCTCGGCCCCCCCAGCCGGGGCTGTCCGATCGCACTCGCTGCATATCAGAGGCTCCGCGCAGCGCGCTCCTCCTCGCTCCCGCTCCCCACTCCCGGGATGTGTCTCCGCCGTACGACGGGCTATGGCCACCACGACTTCCGGGTTCCGTCATTTCGTTCTCCCGCCGCCGACCCGCGCCGCCAAACTGAGGCTCTTCTATAAGCCAGGCAGCAGCCAACCTGCCAACACCTACTGACACTCACTCATCTCCCAGAGAGAGAAAGAGAGCGAGAGCGAGCGCGAGAGAGCGAGCGCGAGTGAGAGCGAGCGAGCGAGCGAGCGAGAGAGGGAGAGACAAAATACCTACCAGGAAAGGGGGGGAGGAAGTCCAATTTTTGCAAACTATTCATTTTTTTCTTGATTTTTCTCCCTGCTTTCTTTGAACAATACTTTAAAGAGAGAGGATCATATTGTAGATACCGCGGGGGCAAAGCTAAAAGAGGGGGGAGGGGGGAGGAAAAAATTCAAGAAGCAGAAACCCCTCGTGGAGTTTTACTGGAAGAAAAAAACGGGTCTGAAAGATTCCTCCTCTTCATCATCATCAACCATCATTCATTCACTACCTTGACATTCCGGGCTTTGATTGACAGCTGGAGTGGCAAAAAGCCATGAAACACGACAGTTCGGTTACATGTGGGCTGCTGACGGGCCGCTCGTAACCTTCAGTTCGGGGGCTTGACAATTTTTTTTTCCTTCTTTTTCTTCTTTTTCTTTTCTTTCTTTTTTTTTTTTTCCAACTGAGGGGAAGAGAAGAGAAAGAGGGGGAAAGGAGGACCAAAAAGGAGGAGGAGGGGAGGGGGGAGGAGGAGGAGGTGGAGGAGGAGGAGGAAGATCAGGAGGAGGAGGAAGAAGAGGAAAAAAGAGAAAAAGAAGAAATATCACAGAAAAAAAAAACTCTTCGTTGTCTTGCCTGGGCTTTTCTTTTTTTCTTTTTTTTTTTTCTTTTTTTCCCTAAATATAACATATTGGAGAATTGGGAGAAGTCTCCTTGGTTTGGAAAAAAAAGAGGAATCTTCAGCCTAGATCACTTTCTTATCCGGACTGGGATATTAAATATACGACACATCCAGGAGTTTATTGGAGCGCAGACTGATGGCGCAAAGGGTAGGTTTAAATCTCCAACACTTACCTAGATATAAATCCTCTCCTAAGAGGGGCCTGTCCCGATGCCTCCTCTCCCTTCAACGCTGCTGCTGCTGCTCGCTGCTTGATGATGGCGGCCAGTATTTTAAAAAATAGCAGCAAAATTATTCATCGGCTTCTTTCCCCCCCATGCCTCTGCGTGTGTGCGAGTGTGTGTGCGTGCGTGTGTGCGTGTCTGGGCGCGCGTGTTCCAGCGCTGTGCGAGCGGGCGGGCGGCGAGTGCGTGTGAGTGCTGTGTGTGTGTGCGTGTGCAATTGTTACACGCTTTCGCCTCGCTCCAGCTTTTACCCCAGCAGCGCGATTCCCCCGGTTCTTTTTTGCCTAGACTAGCCTGGGCTGCTTGTTTTGTCTCTGAAATTGACAAGGACGCAGGGAATCCGCTGCTAAATAATGTTTCTGGTAACTTTCACGTTATTCCCCCCACCCTCCGATCCCTGCCCCGGGGGAGGCACTGACCCTAGTCTCTTCCCTCGTCCTCGGCGTTCTCGTCCTGATTATTAGCGTTTTTCTTCTCTTTATTTTGTTTCATTTCGCCTTTTGATTTATTGGATCCTCTGGAGAAGGCGAAGGGGGGTGAGGGGTGGGATCCGGGGCTTCCTCCTCACACTAACTCCACTTCTCCCTCCGTTGGCTTGCTACGGCTCTGCTGCCTCCGGCGGGGGCGGGGCCTCCCGGCGCCCTCTCGATCCCCGGCCTCACCTCCTCCTCTCCTTTCTCTAAACGCTGCTCTTGGTTCTTACTTTTCATTGTGATATTGTAAAACATTTTCCCCCGCCACTTTCAACTCCGTTTTTTCGGCTGGTTTGGTTTCTGTGTGTTCAACTTGTGCTCGGTACTTTTCTCCTTTCTGACTTTGTTTTTATTTTTATTTTCCTTCCTTCTCCCTCTCTCTCTCTCTGGCTCCCTCCCCCCTTTCTTCTCTCTCTTGGTCTTTCTCCCTCTCTGTCTCATCTCTACCCCTTCCCACTTTTCTGTTCACTCTCTTCTCCCTGCATCGCCTTCCCTTTCCCCCCCTGCTCTCCTCTGTTCTCTCTCACCTCTTGCGCCCCCTCCCCCTTGCCGCGTTCTGACAGTACGATGAGCTGCCCCATTACGGCGGGATGGACGGAGTAGGGGTTCCCGCGTCCATGTACGGAGACCCACACGCGCCGCGGCCGATCCCCCCGGTTCACCACCTGAACCACGGGCCACCGCTCCACGCCACGCAGCACTACGGCGCGCACGCCCCGCACCCCAATGTCATGCCGGCCAGCATGGGATCCGCTGTCAACGACGCCTTGAAGCGGGACAAGGACGCGATCTATGGGTAATCCGACCCCCCCGGACCCATCTTACTGTGTGTGAGTGTGAGCGAGCGTGTGCATTTGTCTCTGTGGGGGATGGGGGTGGGCAACTAAGTGAGGAGTTATTTCTGCACGGGGCGAGGGTAGCCGCTTGCCTTAAGAAAGGACAGTGGAGGGGGCCTGCTCTTCTGCCCTTCCAGTCGCAGACCCGGAAGATACAACCTCCTCCACTCCCACGGCCGGGTCACTCTGGACTCCACAGCCCGTAGTGACTGAGTCCTCAGAATCCTGCCCCGGCCTTTTCCCCCAGGGCAGGATTTCTGACCAAAGGACTCAGGACTGGTCTCTTCAGGCCCCCTAACAGAGGCCTTGAAGGGGAAAGTTTCCTGCCGATGTGGAGCAACTTTGTTTTGGTTTGGTTCTCCCCCCCCCCCTCTCTTTCTCTCATCTGTTTCCTACCAAGATTCTGGGAGCCACTAAATGCAGCTTGAGCTGGGATCAGGGCTGCTTCTGTCGGCCAGGAAGTCCTAATCACCCACTTCTTAATTCTCTGTAAATAAAGGGGGCAGACCTTCAAGTGCAGCGGGTGGAAGGGACTGCGGCTTGCACAGAGCTGCTCCTGGCGGGAGTAAGGGAGATGGCTGGAAATTATTTTATATTCTGAGAGAACTCAGGAAGGGGTGAGGAGGCAAAGTCCAAACGGGTACCACCGGGGCTCTTCCAGCTGAGGGGTAGGTGGGGAAGGCCATGGGATGCCGTGGGAAGGGGACAGTGGGTAAACAGCAACCAAACCCAAAGTGTAGCTGAGCCAGCCGGAGGAACACAAAGGGCATCCACACACACACTTCCAAGTTTTAAAGCACGATTTATTTATTTTTGTCTACTGCAACGCTGGGAGAAATGTGGTCTTTGGAAGGAAGCTCTCTGGCGTTTAACATTCCTATTATTTTGGCCTCTACACGCGGGCTTACTAGAAGTAGAGCAAACAAGTTTATAAGGCCAGGGGGTAGAGAGGTTAGAAGAGCATGCTCTTGCACTTAGGGAATGTCACTCCAGTGTATATGTAGGTGAAGTCTTGGGCCTGGTCTGAAATGTCTATTATGGTGCAGAATCAAGCCAATTATTATTATTATTATTATTATTATTATTATTATTATTCCAAAGAGTGTTTCCTTTCTTGGGAGGTCAGGGTTGGGTCGCAGGGGCTGCTGCCATGGCCTCTGTGGTGTGGGGAGTGGGTCTGGATCAACTCCGGGTTCCAGACTGCCTGAGCTCAGTGGACGTTTCCTTGCGTTCCAACTGAGACTGCTGTGCTTTGGCGGGCTGAAGTGACCCAGGGCTTTTCTAGCCAGATCTGAGGGACTTCTGAGCTGAGGGAGAAGGCCAGGCCGATTTTCCTTTCTGTTTCTGGCCCAGGCGCGGCTGACTGAGGAAGGTTGCAAAGTGTGATGCGTGCCTGTTGTAGTAAAGAAGGGATCCAAACCCTCCAAACTTGTTGATTACAGTTCTCGCTCCTTCCCCTCTGCACCCCGTCTCCGTGTGTGTGTCTCTGCGTGGCGCTGCCCGTTAGGCACCCGTTGTTTCCTCTGTTAGCTCTGGTCTTTGAGAAGTGCGAGCTGGCGACCTGCACTCCCCGGGAACCCGGAGTGGCCGGCGGAGACGTCTGCTCCTCCGACTCCTTCAACGAGGACATCGCGGTCTTCGCCAAGCAGGTCCAACCTTCTTGACCCACTCACCCTCCAGCAGCCCCTCACTCCTCCTCCCCTCTCCTCCGAGCTTTCCTTGAAAGAGGAGGAAAAGGCAGGGACACCCGATCTGCTCCTCTGGCCCAGTTCAACACACTCGACGCCTCCTCCCCATCCCTGAGCCTGGAGGCGAATTGGAAGCGGAGATAAATATGGGTGTTTGTTTTCCCCCCCAGCCAGGAATACAGGGCCTCGACCCTCGAATTAAAGTTGACCTGCTCCTAATCTGGGGCTTGGCCTTTTCCCCCTGCCTGCAGCTACTTAAACAAGAATTGGGGAGAGGGGCTGTGAGGGACCCGGGAGTGCCAGAGAGGCTGGAAAGCTGGGCGCCTCCCGGAGCCGTCTGCGGGGCGCGGATGGGGGAGGCGGAGAGCCACCGCCTCTAGGACGCTTGGATCCCGGAGCTCTCGGGGCCGCAGCCCGGAGCCCGAGTTCCGGCCACTGTTAGTGGCACTAGGGCCCCCTGTACCGGCCCGGACTCGAAGGCCCTAGATTCCTTCTCAGCCCATCCCACTAATCTAAGGCACAACTAGTTCGTGTCCCGTATCTCACCAAAGCCCCACTCCCCTTTCCCGCCCCAGCCCCTCCGCTGTCCCCACAATCACACTCCGGTTTAGTCGGTGACAGGGTTTTTCTTCTTTTAAATGGGGTGGTCATTCATACTGACTTTCCCTGCTTCTTCCAGGTTCGCGCCGAAAAGCCACTTTTTTCCTCAAATCCAGAGCTGGACAATTTGGTAAGGTTCTGGTTTTTTTTGTTTTTTTTGTTTTTTTTGTTTTTTTGCTTTGCCCCAGCCTCGGCCCCCTCCCATGCCGAAGAGCACCCCCTCTGTCCCAGAGCTCTGGGGAGCCCGAGCTGAGCCCTAGTTTGGAGTTCTAGGGAGACAGGAAGGAAGGGAACCTCTTAGAGCCCGGGCTGGGGGGCTGGCGAGCAAGGGGCGGGATGGGCGTCCCAGGGAGCGAAGCCCAGAGAGGCAGGGACCCGGGACGCGGCGCCGAGAGCGCGAGCTGGGGACGATTCCCAGGTCTCGGCCCCGGGAGTAAGCTGCGAGAAGTGAGTTATTTCCTCTGTTTGCCGGGGCAGGCGGCCGAGACCCGGGCAGCTCACCCGAAGGAAGTAACCGCCGGCGCGGCGGAGGGCGGGCCAGGAGGTGGGGGCTGGGGGTGTGAGGGGCCGGCCAGCGCGGGCCACTTTTAGGTGCGATTCTTTTGCTAATTTGCACGATTTCAATATTAAAAGTACTTAAATCCGCTTTCAAAGGCCCTGCCTCACCATTCATCTGGAGTATTTCCTTCTTTAGTGAGGACGGATTTCGCTGGGTATGCTGTTCTAAAAAGCCTTCTCTAACCAGAGAAGCGACTTCTTCCACCCCCCCCCTTTGGCCTGAGGTCAAGGGAGGGGACTGTAAAGGGGGACTTAGGCTGAGAAAGAAGGCCTGGTCCAAGGAAAGCCGTCCTCACACATCGCTCAGTGAACAGGGGAAACACATTCATGCTTAGGCTCAGGTTGAGTCAGATTCCTACCCCGTGGCCAATGAGGCAGAGATGATCAGTA